TCTCTCTCTCTCTCTCTCTCTCTCTCTCTCTCTGTCTCTCTCTTTCTCTTTCTCTCTCTCCCTCTGAAGCAGGCTGCAGCTAAGAGGACTTGGAACGTCAGTCAGTAGCAGATAGAGGGATGCACGCCTCTCTCAGAAGATTATCCTCACGCTTATTGGTTCAGATTACCAACCACAATGATGCAAAGGAGAAGAAACACAATGGAGAACTCTTTATTCTATTCATCTCACAAACCACATCACGGATGGATTCAAGTCTCAGGTAGGACAGTCCCATACGAGGGGTGGAGAGTCAGTGCTTACAGTGAGAACAAGGGGACAAAATCTGCAATATCTTAGCTTAAGCTTTTTGCTTACTTTCTCTAATGCAACAAGATCTGATCACTTATTTGCCCTGAAATACCTTTTTAATTAAAAAAAAATGTAAATCACAAAATCTACACTGAAACAGGCAAGCTAGATTAGTGTGTATATCAAGAGAAACCTCCTCGTGCAAATAAAACTGTTTTCTACATTAGAGAAATGAGCTTGGAACTCTGTGCCATGGCAACACACTGTCATTTACTGTATTTTAAGCAGACATGTTAATTGAGGCATGGCTCTACATGATACTTGTTGATGCCTTTTTTTGCGGATCTTCAGTCAAAATCAGTGAAGAACACAGTTCAAAGAATTCTGAGGATTTGTCTCAGGAATTTATGAGATAATCCGGAGAAAACAGCTGCCCAGTAAGTCCTTGAAGGAAAGTAACTTGCTAGTAGGTCTGTTTAATACTGATCCAATTCAAAATACTTCCACTTCAGAACAAGCCTGCTGGGTGGTAGAGTTGTTGTTTGATGCGTTTTTTCACTGTATCTAGTGATTCTAGTACAGCGAGTATAAAGATGTTGAGTGCTCATAACCTATTCCTTTTTTCTCCATTTAAAGATAGTATGTTCTTCCTCTTTCAGATCAATGTCATTTATAGCTGGTGGGCATTTCCCCTCCAGACAGACACTCTGACACACTGCTGTGTCATCTGCTGTAAATTATCACAATGACAAAAAAAAGTATACGGAACAAGTCACATGATTACATAGTAACAGTGGCATATGATTTACTCATGTTTGCTTAAAAAAAAGTTTCCAGAAAGTTTATGCTTTATTAATTAGCAAAGCATATTTAATGCACTGCTGGCTGCATCTATAGGTTTGATACCACGCGTCGCAAATACTCATTTATGGGAAATGATGCACCACAGTTCTGTCTTAATGTTGTTGGACGTATATGATTGTAGTGAATAACTGTGGTAGATGCCTTCATGTTTTAACACAGGCACACCTGTTTGAGGGGCCATTCACATAAAATGTATTTAAAATGTATTAAAAAATAAAAAAAAACCTCCTATTTTGTTATGGGTCAGTTTGACCCACATTTGATATTTAAACTGGTTACACTAATTATGTTCTTGAAATTTGGCTTGACTTTCTCATTTAGAGTCCCTCCTATTTTGTTATGGGTCAGTTTGACCCACATTTGATATTTAAACTGGTTACGCTAATTATGTTCTTGAAATTTGGCTTGACTTTCTCATTTAGAGTCATGCATGCAAAGTTTTGATGACACAGAAGTGTTTTGGAAAGGCTGTACAAATGTTGGTGCCTACTATAGTATTAGAGGTTAAATGGACATGGGGTTAAATAAATTTACCCATGACACACAGGGAGGAACTTTAAAAAAAACAAAAACATAATAGGAGTTCAACATTTCTCATATTTTATATTGTTATTGTTAAATGGGATACCCATATTTTCAACATAAAGAGCTTTAATAAAGTGAGATGCAGGACAGTGGAATGAATAATCTGGATAATAATCAGTAATATCGATTGCTTTACATTATAATGCTTTTAAAACTATTTAAATGATTTTTTACTGGATTCAGCCTTTAGCATTATATTTTACTTTTATTTTAATATTGGCCATAACAGTCTAGTTCTTTGTGAATATGGTTGGTTGACAGTATTATTTAGTAGAATTCCATGCTCTTTCTTTTATCTTGTTCTGGATGCATCACAACTATTCAGGCTTCAAATCATTAGTACTCCTTCATTACCCAGTCCTGCTCCCCTAGATCCCATTGGTTTTTTCTAACAGCACCATATAAAAGGAAGCATAAGAGTTTGCTGTGCCAGGATGTGTTTTATTAGTGGAAGCTGTGTTTTTCTTGTTCATGCTCTATCTAGAGAGTGTCTGATCGTGCTTTTGTTGTTATGTGTGTGTGCTTGTGCATGCATTCTGCAGTGCTTTCTCAGTTACTGTTTAAGTGCCTGGGGACTCACACACGGACTCTCTTTAATACCCTGCTAATTGATTTGTCCTCTGGAAAATGTCAGTGGGTGTGAATGAAGCTCTCATGCTCCCCTCAGGCTCCTTCAGGTTCTTTCCTAAAGCTGCCTTCCCTTCTCTTTAAACTAAATGACCCATCGTAAATATCCTATCATTCCGTTCTTCGCTCAGGTGAACATGCTCATGAATTCCACTTCTGGTTAAATGTCACTACAGACAGAGGTTGTAATTCCAAAGCAGACATCCTCTCTTTTTGTAACAGAAGGAGATGTGTGTACTTCAGTATTACAATGGGCTCGTATTGTAAACTCAGTTTAAACCTGAGCACAGATGAGGGATTATTCTCGATGTAGAAAAACTAGGTAGTATTCTTTGGCCATTTACGAAAACATCCCATCTCCGTGCTTCCCACAGGTTTGAAATATACTTGCGGTGGTAGCCGGGTGGAAAATCCTCCTTTCACCCACGGCCAAAAATGGTCTACTATATGTGACAAATAACAAATAATGTGTGATTTTTTTTTACCAGTATTTGTATTTATTGAAATTCATTTTAATTACATAGGCTACTATTATTTTTAATTACATACTCATATTATGCATTATTATGCATTGTAAATTATGCAAAATTACAGCATTTAAATGGTAGAATTCTCCTTGCTTTTTCATATAGTGTATCTATCAGTGAATGGGACACAGATTTTACTGATACTAGTAAAATCTATATATTGAATAATATGTGCTTCCTGTGGGAAAGCATCCCAGCCAGAAACTACAATAGTTTACTATGAATTAAATGGAAATTAAATACCATTTATTGTGTAACCAAAATACCAATAACGCCCAGAAAAACAAAAAAACACAGAGACTCTTATTTTGAAATGTCTACACTATTGTGGGGCTGATCCTTCAGATGAGAGATCAAATTTGCATTCTTACAACCGTCTAATACATATTATATAAAGGTCATAAAGTAGACTTTGTCATGATTCATCAACTAGTACATAAACAATCGCTTGCCATAAATGTGCGCTATTCATTGATTGGGAATCATTTTGAAGCAGTCTGAAGCGCTGTTGCGCGAGTCTGTTTAACGCGCAACAGCTCTGCCTTGTGACACTGCAACGTGCAGCGCTCTTTTTTTTAATGAAATTAAATTTAAGAAAACTCACCCTGAGGGATTTTGCTTTATTCGCACACGTGCTCCTAAATACATTTTTCAGTTCGCACTCATCTATTTTTAGTCACAAATGCGACTGAAGCGAGCCCTGTCTTTGGCCCTGTCCACACGAACGCGGTTATTTTTAAAACCGCAGCTTTTTCTATGCGATTTGGCCGTTCATCCACACGCAACTGCAGCACCAGGTCACTGGAACCGAACATTTTTGAAAACACCTGCCAGGGTGAAGATTTTCAAAAACTCTGCTTGCAGTGTAATCGTGTAGACAGCGAAACTGGAGTTTTTGGCTTGTGACGTCGGAGCCTGCACTGTTATCTCCGCCTACTGGAAACTTTTTCAGGCTTCTGATTGGCCAACATGGCTTTACGGTTAAGATTATATCGCCACCTGTTGGTTTGGCATGCTCTTGACAGTGCTTCATAGCATGCGTTTGCGTTTTTATGTAGACGGAGATTTTTTTAAAAACGGAAGAAGGAAAAACTCAGTTTTTAAAAATACCTGTGTATGTGTGGACATGGCCTTTGTCTCTGCAGCGCACGAGGGAATGTCAGTGAGAACTGTGTGTTCTCGCACACACAGAACGAGCAGATACAAAACATGTAGGGCAAGGGGAGATATTCCACTAGTTAATCGATCGTGGATGTTTTCATTATTTCGGTTGGATAAAAAAAAGTATAAGAGGATAAAAATAATAAAAGCAAAAGTGTTTCTCCAAATATACTTGGGCCGCCATTAATATACCTGGGGAAACACTGCATCTTAAAGTAAATTGATAGTTCACCCAAAAGTGAAAATTCTGTCATCATTTACTCACCTTCATCTTGTTTCTTTTGTAGAACGGCTTCAAAACATCTTCTTTTGTGTTCCACAAAAGATTTTGGAAAGTTCTTGAGCAGTCATGTAAATTGGAGATGTTCCTCATGCAGTCGGTCAGGCTTTACTGACCACTTGCTGCAAGTATGTATATTGAATTACAGTAAGTATTAGAAATTAGCTGTGTACTTTGTGAACCGAGTGGCATATAATCATATTTGTAACTTTCACTTATGTAATTTGGAAGATGACATAGATTATTAAATGTAGGGTCATCAATCAGATGTGTAGCAATTGAGATATTAGACACACATGGGTGATTATTACTCCACTTGTTTACCAGAGCCTTGTGGTTCAAGGACGTTATGTGTGTGTGTGTGTGTGTGTGTTTGCATGCTTCAGTGTGCATGTATCTGAAGTATCATTGATCCATAATTCATAATCGAGCTGTTGAATTAGTGTCATGGTAAAATGTGTGTGCGTGCACACTCTTAACTGCATGATAAATAAACGTTCATTCTATCAGGCACCTATTCTCAGCATATGCATGTAGAAATGTACTGTTTTGACAACCCTACAGCAAACACTACAATTCATTTCCTCATTGAGCTGTCAGGATGTGAAATAAAGCTTTATGGAAGCGCATACACCAGGGGTGGTTCTAGGGTGAGTATATATCCGGGGCATAGCCCAGAGACATCCATATATGTGTCAAAATACATGGGATATGCTTTTACATATACATAAAAGCGTATATATATATATATATACATTCATATACTTACATTGAGTAAGTGGCTTACTCAAGTATAAGCCTAATTAAACATGCAGGGTTTTATACACTTTTTAAAATGTATTTCTAGCACTTGTACATTACACTGCACTTACAAATTTCATAAATAATATTATAAGATTAATGTTTTAAATATAAAATGGCTATATA